TTGTATATAAGATATGATAGTTTATTATTCTTTAAGGATGATAGTATTATTATTCCTAAGGAACAATACATTTATCGTTCCTTAGGGATGATTATTTTATCATTCCTTATGGATGATTGTATTATTGTACCTAAGGAATGATAGTATTATCATTCCTTAGATATGACAATTTTATTGTATCTAAGAAATAATAGTATTATTATATCTTAGATATGATGATTTTATTGTTTCTAAGAAAAGATGCATTTATTGTTTCTTAGGTATGATGGTTTTATCATTCCTTAAGGATGATAGTATTATCATTCCTTAGGAATGATAGTTTTATTGTATTTAAGGAATGATGATTTTATCATTTCTTAGAAATAATTATTTTATTGTTCCTTAGGTACAATTGTTTTATCATTCCTTAATAACAATAATATTATCATTCTAATGAACTGAATTTTCAGATTAAACCGATTTGCTAAAATAATATTGATTTAATGTACTATTTGAATTTATTTTTAGTATATAGGAATATTTATATAAATAAGCTTAATTTTTTAACTTTTTAAAAAATAATTCAATCAATTTCAAATTTTCTCTTTTTACATTTTATCAAAATTTCGAAAAAAAATCGTCCTAAGAACAAAAAGACCTTAAGTTAAATTTTAGTTAATTTTCGCCTTTAACTATTAAGAAAAAGCTGTATTTTAGTTAACTTTTCAAAAATAAACTGATTTTTTTTACTTTTTATAATAGAAATATGCCTCTAACCATCAAAATTAGACGAAACTTAAGTTAAATTTTAGTCAATTTTTCTGATTTTCTTTTTACTTTTTATAATAGAAATATGCTTCTAACTATCAAATCAGATGAAAATTAAGTTGAATTTTAGTCAATTTTTGTGATTATTTTTACTTTTTATAATAGAAACATACATCTAACCATCAAAATCGGACGAAACTTAAGTTGAAATTTTGTAATTTTTCTGATTTTTATTCTTTTTTTTTCGAAAATAGCAATCTTATATTATAAAAAATACTTGCATATCACTGACCTTTAAATTAACTGTATAAATAACTGTTTATAGTCAATTTTCTGCATATTACTGATCTTTAGATTGACTGTATAAATAACCAGTCTTCTGCATATCACTGACCTTTAGATTGACTATATAAATAACTATTCTATTTATAATCAGTCTTCTGCATATCACTGATTTTTAGATTGACTGTATAAATAACCATTCTGTTTACAATCAGTCTTCTGATATGACTAGTTGATCATTGTGTGAATTTAGAATTTATGCTTTTCCAATATAAAATATATTTTAATCTTTATCTCTGAATGATGAAAATTTTATTATTTAATTTATTATAGAATAATGAAATGATGAAAACTTATAAATTTAATGTATATATTATATCATTCGTGATGATAAGATGTGTATTTTTTTTTGTCAAAATGTAACTTTAAATGTAAATAAAAGAGGTTTTCATTCCTTTCAAAGAGCTTATTAATTGAAATCATAATACGCTGAATATTCTTATGATGTTTTTTCTTATCCTATATTATATATTATATTTTTATGATTATTGTATTCTTATTATGTATGCTTATTAATAATTGTAAAATATTAATAAAAAAATATTCAAATTCTGTTCATGCGATACAGTTGTAATGATTTACCCTTAATATTATTCGTTTAATAAATCACAGAACAAGCAACATGTTAATAATTGCTCTTTTGTATACCATTGAAATGTGTTTACTAAACATAATGTTCAACTCTCATTTAAATTGTATTATATTATGTTATGTATCTTTTCATAATTCTTTGTAAGAGTCACATTATATGCTTAAATACTCATATTACTTTTATGCAGGAACTGACTGAAACTCCTTAAATAATGTCAAAAGAGGTTTGGTAGAGAAAAACAAGATTTTATTTAGTTAGTAAAGCAATATTAACCTTAAAAAATATTAATATTGACATCATTTTGAATACCATAATGGAAATGTTTCTTAGAGAGGTTTATTCATATCTTAGTATAGACTTAGTAAACTCAACCAAAAACAGCAATACAGAATAACCTTAAATATATTCACCTGAATTTTTAAGATCTTTGAAAATTCTTAGACTTCTTCCTAGTGAATTAAAACTAAAATTAGGTGTACCTATCATACTTTTATGAAATTTGAACCTATCAGAAGGATTTTGTAATGGAACCAGACTGATTTGTCATGAATTCTAAAATAAAATTATTGATGCGAAGATTATCATAGGCTCTCATACTGGTAGACGTATATTTATATCTCAGATCATATTAATATCTTCTGATAGTAACCTATCATTTACTTTAAAAGACAACAATTTCCCATATGAGTTGCATTTTTCATCACAATCAATAAATTCTAAGGCCAAACATTAATCCAATTAGGAATCTACTTACCACAACCTGTTTTTTCCCATAGTCAACTTTATGTTGCCCTATCAAGAAGTACTTTATATTATAACATCAAAGTTCTTATAGGTAATAACCAAATTATCATACCTCAAATGTTGTATATCATGAAATTTTTCAATAAATTGTAGACCATCTATTTTTACTATTAAAATCACAAGATATTTTTAAATCATATGATCTAAAACCCAATTTATTAATAATATACCCTGTTATAGAGCAATAGGTTAATAACTAGTATTACTATAATAAATATTTAAGACAATTTAAGGGGATTTTAGAAGGAAAATAGATTATATTTTTATTATTTAACATAGTTTTTCCATTTTTTACTTATATTTTTTAAATAGAAAATTAATCAGTGGGTTTTGATAATATTTATGTTATGTTTTTACAAATTATATTAGGTTTTTATTATTAATAAAATTATAATATTTAATACGTATTTCTTCAAAAATAGCACTATCATATTTTTTAGTATCTAAAAATAAAATAAATGCTAAAACAAACCTGATTTATTAAATATTTTATAAATTTCAATGTTTTTTATTTATTTTGTTTAAAAGAATTCTTTGCCATCAATATTTCTTTATCATTATTAATAATTATCACAATCAATACTACTATTATTATCATTATCGTTCACTGTTAACACATCTAGAATTACCGCTAAATTATATCTACTTTTATGAAACTTATTTTACAGATTCTTTTATATGACCCCTAAAAGAAATGTGTTAAAAATATAAATCATTTATCATTTTTACATAGTTTCTAAGATTGAAAATTTAGCAATTCTATTAGTATCTGAAATTAAGCATTTCTATAGCAAAAAAGGGTACTTAATTTAGAAGCATACGGTAAATTTAATAAATATAATATATTGATTTTATATGCTTATTTGACTGAATTGATATTAAATTAAGGCCAATTTTAGGTTATTTAAATTCTAAATTGATGCTGAATGATGCTAAATTGAGATCAAATTTAAGCTAATTTAAGTTCTGAATTGATGCTGAATGATGCTGTATTAAGGTCAATTTTAGGTCAATTTATATTATTTAAGTTCTGAATTAATGCTAAATGATGCTGAATTAAGGTCAATTTTAGATTAATTTATAGTTAAATTTAAGTTCTGAATGGCTATGTCTAACTAGAGTCAATCAGCATCTATCAGCGTCTGAATTATTGCTAAATTAAAACCAATTTTAGGCTGATTTATAGTTGAATTTAAGTTCTGAATTGATGCTGAATGGCTATGTCCAATTGGAGTCAATTAGCGTCTATCAGCATCTATTTGTACTAATTGGAAAATATGGCATATTAGCCATAAATAGTATTAAAATCAGCCTAAAATCAGCTATCCAATTTTTAGCCAATTTGGACTATTTTGACCAGTATGATATATAATACATAAAATAGCTGAAGAAAGTTTAGTAAACAGAGAATACTAAAGTCATGTAATATTAAAATATTATTAGTATTATTTATAATTAATTTATTACATTAAGTTATTTATATAATACCTTATTAATTATATTCTTTCTTATTTGCTATATTGAAAATTCTGAAATTTGTTTATAAACTTGTAATAATGCTTGTGATTCTTATGTTTAATCAATATCTTCAATTTTTTTTGAATGTCGCCAAATAAAATTAAGTGTTCCTAAATAGTTTCTATGATAATATTTATAGATAATACAATCTATCTTTAACTAAACTTATCAAAAAAGTTAAATATTTCAATTTTATTTTTAGAATTAATTCATTTAAACAAATTGGTATATAGAATTCAGTTTTTTGTGTTAAATAATTAAGTTCTTCATATTCAAGAGCAATAGTTTGGCCAGCTTTAATATTTTCTACTTTAATATTATCTATTCTATTATAAATAGATAATGAACTAGCATATATATAACGAATTTGATAATTCACATTTTCTAAATATTTAGCAAAGTTCTTTACTGAATCACACAATTTTATGACATTATTAATAAAACCTTACCATTATTCACTATGTGTTCATAGTTAAAATATTGAATTTTTTACTGATTTAATGTGATTTTCCAATATATACCATTTAAGATTTTCCTTTTTATTATATGAAGTATTATAAAATGTATTATATTTACTATTAACTATATATTCTGAAAGATCTTAAATAAATTTAAGTATAGTACAACCTCTAAATCGAAGTTTTATATGATGTGGATCAATATATCAAATAAAATTTGTTAGTCTATCTATAAATGATTTATTGATATCAGATGCTGCATGCCAACTAAGATTTTTTGAATGTAATACATTAAGTAAATAATTGTATAATTTGTTAACATTATTAGTATTTTTACGTGTTACTGGTTATTGAATTTTTCTACTATTTTCCATTATAATTATAAGTGAATTAATTGCATCTTATTGATCATTTAATTAATGATTATCAAGTTGAGATAAACATAAAAATCACATATAATAAATTTTTAGTGGTTGATATATAACCAAGTTTTCTTCAATATCCTTAGATATTACATGCCAAGTAGAAGAGTTATTGCATTAAAAATCAACTGTAATATTTATATCTGATAAATCAGTACTATTTAATACTTCTTTAAGCAAGTCTGCAAAAGTTCTATTATCATTAATACTACTTGCTACCTCTTTAATAATATTGTACCTATTTTGAATAATGCTTATTAACAAAAATAATTTCATTATAAAAGTATTTGTTAAAATACAAAAGCCATAAAGTTTTTTATTTCTATACTTATATTTTTAATAAGTGATAAAGACATATAAACCATTTTTTTTTTCTCATATTAAAAAATGGATTTAAATAAAGTTAAAAGAGTTATCATTTTACTAATTATTAGTTTAGATTTTTTTGAAATAGATCAATTTACAATTAACTTAATTTGTGATAATTTGTATGATTTATTTAATTATAAATAAAAGAAAATTTTTCGTATAATGACCCATGTTAATCAACTCATATTAATTACCTAACATTTAGATTACCCTATATAATAATCTTTGAATTATGTTTACACCTGATTTATCTTGTAATTTTATAAAATTAAAGGAGAAATATTTTTGTATAATGTGATTAAATTGTTCAAATGGAGGAAGAAGATTTTTTATAAGGGATGTTAAAATAGTCTTCAAGGGGATAAAAATAATATTAAACAGATTTTTCAATTGTAATGGCTTTAATTATAATCATTAAAGTTGAATTATAGTTATTGCAATTATTTATAATAAAATTTTTCAATATATAAATAGATTTTAAAATAAATAAAACTTATTATAGGAGGTTAAAGATAAATATTGCAATGTAACTTGTAGTATAATAAAATTTTCTTATAATGTAATAAGTTACAATTATATAATATTGTATCTTTTATATTTGAGATAATAAATTTCTTTATTTCTTTTATGCAAAAATTTTCTGATTAAGATTACATAAACTAATAAAATTTGTCAAATCTTAAATATCTATTTATATGTATATCTAAAATAATGTAAAGCACATTATATTCTAATATATTACCTGCTTATTAATTGTTTGCTTATGATATTTTATATTGATATTTTATCAGATTTACTATCAGAGTTGAATTTTTCATAAAAATATTAACTTGACATAATTATCATAATATTGTGACTGGGTGATGATCTTGATAATTATAGATCTACAAATGTATGGCGAAGTACAGAATGTCAAATATATCAAACATGTTTAATATGTTTGATATAGTTAATATGTCTAACATATTAAATATGTTTAATATAGTTAATATATTAGATATGTTAATATATATAGTAAAATAAATATAAATATGAATCCCTTTGTAAGCTAAAAAGACTAACAGGTGTATAGAACTTTTCTCTTGTAAAAGATAGCATAATGCTACTCTTTCTTTTGTATATTTTGTTAGTTGACATAGGTAATCAATCCTGAAGACCTATTGATGTAGATAATCAATTTAGAAGATAGTATTTAAGAGGTAACTAGACCTATCACATAACATTACAGTTTTAGAGGCAATTAGCCTATCACGTTACATTACAGTTTTAGAGGTAACTGGCCTATTGCATTAGTTTTTCTTTTTTCTTTTATTATTTTACTTATAAATAAATACATTATTTTACCAATATAATTTACTTGCAATCAGTTGAATCACTGCCTGATGCAACTGTATAAATACTTTTGACAAACCGTCTAACGTAAAACTTATAAACCATTAAAAGAATTATTGCTTAATTAAAAGAGTCAACTCTCTGATACCACGTCTAACAGTTATAATCTGAAAAGATTGCACATTAACAATATATCAAATGAAAATCATATTGCAAAAAGTTTAATATATTTTTTAATAAGCTTGATATAGTATTTTTTATAAATATTACATTATTACAAGCATTTATGATTATAAATAAAAATTATTTTAAGTAAAAGTTGATATTTTGAAAGTGAAAATTATTAAATTTCAAAGTTTTTTCTTTATTACTATTATTGAAAGGCAAATTAATTAGTAAATCTTGTGATTCAAGATTTATAATTTAAGAAGTTTGTAATAGTTTCTTGAATTTATTATACAGAAATAAATTGCTTTTTCAATGTCAGTATTTTTAGATATTTTAGATTGTAAACATAGATTATTTAAAGTTAACTAATAATATTAAATTTTATGATTTTCTTTGATTATCATTTTTAAGAAAAAAAAATTAAAAAAAAATTGTGAAAAAAAATATGTGTAAAAAAGTATTTTTATATTTGATATATATATTTTCTTATTACAAATATTAGTAATCAGAAAATATAATAATTATTTATTGATTAATTGCTAATATTATCAGGATCATGACTGCATTGTGATACCTGATAATATCTCTATTTTGTAATAAATAACTAATACATATCTAATAGTGTATTTAAATTATATTTTTATTTTATTCTATGATTTCCATATACATCAATCAATATTTTCTTTTAATAGAAACTCTAGATATTTTAAATCATTTTTTAATAATAAATACAATTTAAAATATAATAAAGATAATAGTTCTACTAAACCATATTTTTAAAAGTAAAGTATTATTCTATATACAGAGATTTTGCCAATTTTATAATATTTTACAATTTCTCTTTATGAATTTTCACATAATTATTTTTTAATTATTTGTCAGTAAAAATAAGATATAATTTTATATTATAAAAAAAAAGAAATATAATTATTTATACGACTTATACAATTCCTATATATTATTTATATTTGCATAATTTTGAAATAAATTAATTAATATATCTTATTTGACCATATGAGATTTATATAAAATTGACATACCTTTACCTGAGAAGTTGAATTAGATATAATACAATTTTTTAAAAATAAGTAAATATATTTTATTTATTTAGAAATATTATTATATTTTATATGGTATATATCAGATATTACAAAAATCTTAAAAATTAAAATTATTGTTTAGCATTGTATAAGATATCCTAAATATTTTACAATTTTTTTAATTTAAAAATTGAATAATACTTGTAAATATTTTATTAGATATTAGATATTTTAAATAATAGGATATTATAAATAAGTTATACTATTGTAAGAATATTTTAGATGGTAGATAAGAATGTTATCAATTTAGTTCAGTTTAAAAATTATCAGATTTAATCTTTAAATTAAAACTGCAATTGTAACTATAATGCTAAGTTCAGTTAATTATATATAAATTTTATTAGTTAATTAATACAAAAAAATAAAAATATAAATAAATAAATTTATAAATATTAAAGTATGCTTATTTTTGATTAATTATAAATTAGTTTATAACTGTTAATCCTAAATATTATATAAAAATAGTAAATTTTATTAAAATAAAAATTTTTTTTTAACAGAAAATCAGAAAAAAAAATATAAAAAAAACTAAATGCGAAATTAAAGGAGAAAAAAAATATCAAAAGTTAGAGTTTAAAAAAAAAATTATGCAAAGAATTATCAGTTTGTGATGATATTTCAATATTAGATAATAATAGTGATGAGATAAATCTTTATGATAAAGTAGATTTTTATAAAGAAGAAGAATTGAAAGAATAAAAAGTATTTAAATTTTTTAGTAAAGTAAATATTAAAATTTAGTTTAAAATAAATTTAAAATATTTGAAAATTAAAATAATAAAACTTGTATTGATTTAACTCAGCTTGTCTTCTACTTCTACTTGAGAAACTAAAAAATTTAAAGTTTGAATATAACTAAATTTTAATATAAATATCAAACAAAATACATTTTTAAATACTTATTAGATTTTTTTCAAAAAGGAGTTTTGAATTATTCTTCATATTTTTTATTAACTTTACTTTACTTTTCTTTCAAATTTCCTTTTACAGTCAACTCTTGTTATAACGAACTCTATGTCCTAGACCTCAACTTCGCTATAAGGCTATAGTGAAGATTTTAAGAGATTTTATTGGCCAATTCGCTATAACAAGAGTATTTTTATTATATTTGTTCAAAAAATTCGTTATATCAAGAGTTCGCTATAACAAGAATTGACTGTATATAAAGTTTAAATAACTAATAATTTGATTATTTATAATTTTTATTTTATATAATTATATTGTATGTTTTTTTAATTAAGATTTACTTACTTTATAATCCTTAATTATTCCTTTAAATTTTGCTTGATATTGCATTACCATAATATTTGTATTAAAATCTTTTTTGACTTTTTTACAACTTCTTTCTAAAATGGTAACTTTGATCTTTCAAATATAAACTAATATTCTTCATTTTTACTTTTTCTTTTATTAATCAACAATTAAACTTTATTATCATCCTAATTAATTATATTTGTCATTTTAATAAGTTAAAATTTTAATAAAATTTAATAAAAAAAAAAAACTTCATAATAATAAAATGCTTTTATTAGTAAATTTATAATTATGTAATTACTTATTATATTTAATTTTAAATATTATTAAATAAAATTAATAAATAATTATTAAGAATATTGTAAATATATATTATATCTATCTAAATTATATTGAACATATATATTTACTAAATGTATTTTTAACAAATATATATTCTACAGAGGGTCACCAAAAGTCTCTGAACACCACTTTTTAAGCGTAATTACATGCTAGTAACATTACGTAACATAATAATATTATGGTCACATGACGTTCCAGAGTTTGTTTACATAAATCAAACTTAATAAATGCGCATTTTGTTTGTT